CCCCCCCCTGAGCCCCCAGTGCCACCAGGGCCACCATCCTGGTCAGCATTGAGGTCACCATTGTGGCCACCACCCTGGTCACCTGGCCACCACTCCAGCCACCACCCAGGTCACCGTCATGGTCTCCACCATGACCGCCACCCTGGTCACCATCGGGGTCACCATCGAGGTCACCATCATGGCCACCACCCTGGTCACTATGGTGGCCACCACCATGAGCAGCTGGCCACCAGCGGGGCCACCACCCTGGTCACCATTGGGGCCACCACTATGAGCACCCAACGCCACCGGGGCCACCACCCTGGTCACTTGGTCACCAGCGGGGCCACCATCAAGGTCACCATCGTGGCCACCACTCTGGTCACCACCATGGTCACCCCCCGACACCAGCGGGGCCACCACCCTGGTCACCATTGGGGCCACCACCATGAGCACCCAGTGCCACTGGGGCCACCAGCCTGGTCACCTGGTCACCAGCGGGGCCACCACCCTGGTCACCATCATGAGCACCCAGTGCCACCAGGGCCACCACCCTGGTCACTCGGCCACCAGCAGAGCCACCACCCCGGTCACCATCATGGCCACAACTGCAGCCACCCCCGTGGTCAGCATCGCGGCCACCACCATGAGCACCTGGCCACCAGCCTGGCCACCACCAGGGCCACCACCTTGGCCACCGTCATGAGCACCCTGTGCCAATGGGGCCACCACCCTGGTCACCATAGTGGCCACTGCCGCCAGCACCCAGCCACCACCAGGGCCACCGTCGTGGCCACCACCCTGGTCACCACCATGGCCATCACCAGAGCCACCACCACGGTCACCATCATGGCTCCCATTGATGTCACCACCATGGTCACCACGGGGGCCACCACCCCCCAACCAGCTGCCCCCTCCCTCTCCCCATGGGGACCCTCCCTGGTGCCCCAGGGGACATTGCGGTGACCCCGGGGGACATCACGGTGACCCTGTGGGACACCCGGTGGCCCTGTGAAGATGTGACACTGACCCCAGGGGACGTCCTGGTGGCCCTAGGGACATGGCGGGGATGTTATGGGACCCCATATGGGACATGGTTCTGCCCCAGGGGACATGGTGGTGGCCCTGGGGACATCTTGGTGACACCACGGTGGCCCTGGGGACACGTTGGTGACATCACGGTCCCACCTGCCGGGCAGCTGGCGCAGGGCCCTGGGGACACGGTGACGTTATAGGACCCCATGGGGACATTGCAGTGACCCCAGGGGACACGGTGGTGGCCCTGGTGACCTGTTGGTGACCCGTTGGTGACACCGCGGTCCCACCTGCTGGGCAGCTGGCGCAGGGCCCTGGCGACACAGTGACGTTATAGGACCCCATGGGGACATTGCAGTGACCCAGGGGACACGGTGGTGGCCCCGGTGACCCGTTAGTGACACTTTGGTGACCCGTTGGTGACATCGCGGTGTCCCACCTGCCCGGCAGCTGCCGCAGGGCCCTCTCGTACAGCAGGTTGAGCCGCGCGGGCGGCGCCCGGCGCTTGGCGTCCAGGTAGCGCAGCCAGGAACGGACCGAGAAGGGACAGCGCAGGAGCTGCTCCTCGTGGGACACGTCCTCGGCGGCCTGGGGACAATGAGGAACATTGGGGACATCAGGGACAATGAGGGACATCGGGGACATTGGGGATAATGAAGGACATTGGGGATAACGGGGACACGTGGGGACACAGAGCCAGGAGCGCACGGACAAGGGACAGCGCAGGAGCTGCTCCTCGTGGGACACGTCCTCGGCGGCCTGGGGACAACGAGGGACATTGGGGACATCGGGGACAATGAGGGACATCGGGGATAACGGAGACATCGGGGATATTGGGGATAACAGGGACACAGAGCCAGGAGCGGACCGAGAAGGGACAGCGCAGGAGCTGCTCCTCGTGGGACACGTCCTCGGCAGCCTGGGGACAATGAGGGACATTGGGGACAATGAGGGACATCGGGGACATTGGGGATAATGAAGGACATTGGGGATAATGGGGACACGTGGGGACATGGAGCCAGGAGGGGACCGAGAAGGGACAGCGCAGGAGCTGCTCCTCGTGGGACACGTCCTCGGCAGCCTGGGGACAATGAGGGACATTGGGGACATCGGGGGACACATGGGGACGTCAGGGGACATGAGAATGTGAGGGGGAACTTGTCCCCGTGTCCCCCTCACGTCCGCATCGGGGAACATATGGGGACATTAGGGGACAGGAAGATGTGAGGGACATTGGGGGACACAGGGACACGGGGACATGGGGACGTGAGGGGACAACGTGAGGATGGTGATGGAGGAGGGAGGTGACAACGGGGGACAGGAATGGGGACATGGCGGGGGATGAGGGGACAGCAGGACAAGAAGACAAGGACAGAGAGGAAGGGACATGGATGGGGACATGGGACACCAATGGGGACACGGGGACACCAGTGGGGACACAGAGCGGGGACAGAGCAAGGGGACAGGGTGGGGACACCTTTGGGGACACCCTTGGGGACAGAGCCAGGGCCCACGGGGACAGAGCGACCCGGAGGGGAGGGGACAGCGGCGACCGCGGGGACACCGGGGTGTCCCCAACCCCCCCCATGTGGCCCCGCCCCCGCAAGATGGCGCCCGCGCCCCTCCCACACTCACCAAGAGCCGCTACGGC